ATAAAATGTTCATCTTCTCAAGTTCTTTCAATATGTTTTCATATTGAATATACCTTTTAATTTCTCAATATGGTATAAGAGCGAAATGCTCCGTCTGCACAACAGATCTATGCAAAAATTCCATATAGAAAACAAAATGATCTTCTGCATGTGAGGTTTCCATGGAATAAATCTGAAGAATATCAGCAAATTCACTCTCCTTCAATTCCGATGCTTCTACCATGTTCTCATCTGATTCCGGTAGAATGGCTCCCACAAATTTCTCCATTACTCCAGTGTCTGCAGAACCGTCTGTACCATGAAGCATCCTTTTGTGTTATTTCCATGGGCAACTCTTTGGTGTGTGCGCTAAAGTGTGAAGGTCATCCTGTTGTTTTTCAGTTCCTTTATCTTCACCCATCTGCAGTGTCCCTTTTCTAGATTTCTGAGGAGGTTGGATGGTGATATTTCATCTAGTTCCACAAAAATGGAACTGTCCGTTATCTCTTCACAATTGTCAGTAGTTCTCTTTGCTCCTTCAAAATTAACTCATTTTTCTTCTGATAGACGAATGTGCTGGAAAAAAAAAATCGGAGAGCGTAAAGGGATACATTTCCTTGCTGGAGTTTGTTTAGCATTTCCAGTTTTCCTTTTACTCGTCAATGTTGATGATGTTTGTCTTCAGCAAATGCCCGATTTTAGAGCCATAGATGCTCACTTATTCTTGTTGAATTATGTTGTTGTTTTTCTCTAGATTGCTTCTCTGCTGGACGTGCTTCTCTTTCAACGGCTTCTCTTGCATCTCTGCTCTTCTCTCTACAATTCAAGATGTTCCATCTTGAGGGGGAAGTGTTGGAATATTCCAATATTAGATCCTTCTACTATTTGTTATTAGATCATTCTTCAAGATTCTTCTCTTGTTTGTCATGTAGTTAGTTTGTTAGAAATTTACTCTATAAATAGAGCAATATATTCACAATATTACTTGAGCTTGATGATCTCCACAGTTACTTGACCTAAAGTTACATTACACATTCACTTCACTCTGCTCACTTCTTCTTTGCACGACTCCCTCCTGGCTCATTAACACCAAAAACCACCACGGACCACTGCAAAGAAATGAAGACGACACCACCAAGCAAACCTCAACTATCACACAATCAAGTGCCCACCATTAACAACCCAATTAACCCCTGAAACCCCAATACCACCAAAATCGAAGCACGGACTCAGCATCATGATTAGAAAACGACAACTACAAAAAAATTAGATATATACATTTGTTTCTTTTGCTGTCAGACACCCATACACACACAGGTTTTGGTATTGGATCATACAGATTTAGGAGTCGCTGAATTAGACCATACAAACCTGGATAGATCACTCGAGGAGGTTCTGCCATATGCATTTAGTGACAATGGTGATTATGTTTGTTCATAATTTGTGATTTGTCACTGAATATGGTATCAAATTCCAATGTCATGTAGACTTTTTATTCTCAATGAATGAATGGGGTGATCAACCGAGTTTCATTAGAGAGCAGTTTTTTCTTTTTCCATTGAAGGCAATTGAATCTACCATTATTCGTGTCCAGTTTTGCAAATTTTCAATATATAAAAGGGGTTGGTTAAGTGATGCAATCGTAAGATGCTAAAAGAGCAGCTATTTGGAGGAGAAACTAGAATGGGAGAATCAAGTTCTTCATGTATAACAACAAACTAGCAATACCAATTCTTGAATTTGTAAAGAGATATACAAGGAACCATCATGAAATAAGCTACAGCATTGCAAGATTCCGAGCAATTTCAAGTAAACTCTACATTTAAATTTGATTTGTTTCTGAGGTATTATATCAAGGAAAGATTACAGACAGAGAACAATTCGTGGAATCGCCCAAAAGAAATTCACAAATATGGTTACCATCAAGCTAATCAGCACGCTTCCCTGTACAAGAAGTGGAAGAGGAAACCAAATTCCTCCAGAGATAACTTCCGCTTGCCATGTCCACAAAGGTCCAAAAACCCTGCCTTATTGCCCAACACACCTGCAATATCATTATAACAAAAACTGGCGACAAATTCACATGTGACCAAAATTTAAACAATAAAACTACAAAGCAAACACGAGATACCTTGGAGGAAACGGTGAGGGCATCAGGGGATTCAATTTCTTTGTCGGTCGGGGACTTCACGTCGTCGTCTTCGGGGTTGATAGGAGGGGATTTG